TCCTCCTCCTTTTCTTTGTATGCAGCTCGCGGGTCTGTATCCCAGAATCTACTGCTCTGATACCATGTTCAAGTAAATGGAACATTTAGTTTTATTCATTACTCGCCCACACAAGGTACAGCAATGGCGGGTCTATTTATAGACCAAGCTGAAAGAGGGAAAATGCAAAACAGACTAAAACGAACTGAAACAAACTATCCTTTTATTACAAAGAAGGACTGAACTATTTAAGAAGAACAATTAAGTCCCTAAAGAAATAAGTTGTACACTGTGTTCCCTCTTAAACTCGATAAAGTTTTCAGCGTTGTCGTTCCACGGCCCAAAAAGTCGAGGAGCGCGCAAGAAAAGGATGAAGAAGAAGAGCTTCTAGTCATTGAAGGAATAGAAGTGGATACTGGAAATTCCATCAAGTTTGATGTGTTCGTCAATGATATTGATAATTTTGATGATTTTGACAAGGCTGAGTACGCTAGTACCTTCTCGCAGGTCCGCCATAAGAACTCTTCAAACGTTAAGACTTCCATTACGTTGGCATTGAATGAGCTTTTGGAGGTTGAAGATGACGATGAGATACTCGTGTCTCTTCCAAAAGTTGGGGGTGATGGCATAACCATTGGTGGTATCAAGATCACATACTCTTCTAGAGCACCCGAAGTACGTTTCATCATCAAAATCATATCAAGATTACCTATGTATATTTCTTGAATGGATGCACGTATGTATCTAAATAAAGGTTGTAATATGTACCTCGTATGCCTTACCTTATCTCGCTTGTGTACTAGTTTGATATGTCATAATAACCATCGCATATGCTTCAATTTCCTTGTTCCCGACAATCAGTGTCCTTCAATTAATTTTCCAGATTAAGGAGACAAAATCGTGCAAGAATAAGTGGACAACAAAATTTCAGTTAAACTACACAGATTGCTAAGATATACTGTAGTTTATTGATTATATAGGTTTTTTTCTCTAAATTTGAATGAGATAATACGGTTCTACGATATCTTTTAGGGCCAAATTGCATTTTACTAAGCCTCCGTTTGGACCACCTTAAAATCTCATTAAAATGAAAAATATGACCGTTATCCATCATATCAACATTTAAATTCAAATTTTCTATCTCTTTGTGGGCCCCAATAACGACTATATTTTTCATTCTCATTCTACAATAAGGTGGCTCAAACAGGGCCTAAATAAAATCGCCACTGACAAAAACGTGCGACAGTTTATGAATTTATTTGATTAACTTCAGAGAAATGTAAAATAAAATGTACTGCTTTACAAGCCTACTCGAAACAGACTAGAAGTTAACCTACTAATAAATCCTTGTTGGTACGTAATTATTTGTGATGCAGGGCAGCAACAATTGTACTAAGAAAAAAATGCAATAATTATAAAATGTGACAACAGTAAAACCCTAATTTCCTTGCAATTTAATAAGAGCTTGTTTGGGTTCATTATAAGTTATTGAAATTATAATTATGGATAGAAATGAGTTGTAAATCAATATGTAGTAAATATAAATTCTACGAAACATGTGATTAAGATTAAAGTTTGATTTTGACCTTTAAATTATAAGAATATTAAAAGTTATCTCATATGTAAAAATAGTTAATATATTTTCACTTTAGAGAATCTTTTTGTGGATACCTTTTGTACTTATCTTATGAAATTCATGTTAATCTAGGTCACTTGTAGAACCTATAATTATGTATGTAATTCAATGAAATCAATGTGAGGTTGAAGTTAAATTAATTTTTTTCTATTCTATCGTTCTTTACATGGTATCAGAGTTATGCTCTAATGAAATCATCATCAAATAAAATTCAATCACATTGATCCATCACGATTAATTAAAATAACACTTACCCACCTTAACATGGTACTATCTGTGCTCTTGCAAACATCTAACTCAATTAGTTCTCATATCTACAAAATTGGTGCTCGAATTAACCACCACGAATTATTCTTTTTGAAAACTGCACTTTCACACCTTACGTGTAGAATACGATCTTGTGGGATTTATTGAGGTACTCGACCATGCCCTCCACAGTATATTATAATCTTCTAAAATTTTACGAATTTTGAAATTTTGATGAATCTTATATCATTGAAAAGTTGTATTAATTTATTTTCTTATGAAAAGTCTGTGCTTTGAGTTATGAGAATTTTCCAAAACAACGCAAAGTTTGTATGGTAACCTTCGAAAATCATTGAATGTACGTAGTTTTAAGATTTAGATTAATCACGTATCATTGAAAAGTTGTATTAGTTTACTTTTATATAAGAAACATTTTCCATTCTAGGATCCATATTTTTGAGTTATAAAGATTTTTATGAAAATCTTGCAAAAGTTGCATATTATAAAATATTCGAAAATAACTGATTTTACAAAAAAAAAAAAAAGGGTTTTTGATGAATCTTATACCGTTGAAAATTTGTATCAATTTAACTTCATATAAAAGAATGATTTTCTATTTCAGGACCCGTGCTTTGAGTTAAAAGCATCTCTCTCAATAAAATAAAAAAATCCTCACTGACTATAAAATTTTGAGATTCTGATGAATTATATATCATTGAAAAATTTATCAGTTTACTCTATATGGAAAAACAAAATAAAAAAAAATCACTGAATTTATACCATTGAAAAGTTGTAAGTTTATTTTCATATAAAAAATGATTTTCCATTCCAGGATTGTGCCTTTTAAGTTATAGAGATTTTTTAAGCAAAATTCATGAAACCCCTTCCCATTCCAAGGATTGTGCCTTTTCCCTGAATTTTTTTTTTTTTCACATAGAGTAAACTGATAAATGATATACATTGGCAACTTGTACGAGTTTACGCTCCTGTCAATTTTTCGAAGCACAGGAAATCAGCAATGTCTTCGCTCGACATGAAATTCTCAAAACCCTCGTCCAGCCGGGCTGGCAGCAGCCGAACCCTCTCCGATTTGAACCGGCCCTCCGGTCAAGATTCCGACAGCGACTAGGATGGTCCCCAATAGCATTACACAGGCGGCGAAAAGAGGTCCCCGTTATTTCAAGAAACCCCTAATTTTTACCTATTTGTCGTTTTTGGTTGATTGATATTGAATTCTATACGTGTCAATTGTGCTTATTGTATAGAAGGTTGTAATTAGTACATTATGATTGTGTAAATGGGTGAGATCGGCCTGAATAGTGCATACACGAGCTTGAGACTTGTTTTTGGGAGATTTTCGTACTGCACAGTTCTTGAATCAGGGGTAATAATATTTATTGCTCTTATGCGATTCAAATTGATTCTTTTTCTTACACTTGCTTTTATTCGAGGTTACTCATTATGGAAAATATAATGAAATAGAATTCAGGAGTTTGATAAGAGCAGTATGATTAAATGTTTCTAATTTTTATAGTTATAGGTCACTTTAGTTTCTGGATGTAAGTAGTCTTGCTATTTGCCTGTTACAGCATCAAGCTTGACTTGTGGAATTCTGCTTATACAGGATTCTATTCTATTGATTCTTGAAATTTCATTTCCTCCAGTTTTTGGATTGTGTGTTTCTTATTACCTCTTTGTCATCTCTTTATGGAAGTTAAAGGTTGAAATTAATTTGAAGTTATCAGTCAAAGATATTTCACGTCCTTAGTCAATAAGATTGGAGTAGAATAGTTGTTACCCACCTTATTTGTTTTTTCTTATTGAGGGGAGGGCAACTAGGTAAGATTTTTGCACCGTGTAGGTTCATGTTAGGTGTGGATTCAGCAAACTAGCCCCGAGCTGTCCAGGTTATGAAAACACCCCTCATTCTTGCTTATTTTGTGTCTGGTTGTAGATAAACAAACAAATTTCTCAATATTCTCTCCTTTTCTGTGTCTGTTACCCTGCCCCCACTCCTCCCTCTTGTACAGTCATGAGGTTTGTGGTAGTAATGTCCATAGTGGTTGTTTGGCTCATTGTATCCATAATTCTGCATAATCTTTTCTCATCCCCTCTCTTTTCATTGAATGTAACTTTTTCATGGCTATTCATTTTCAAGCTTCAATTAAGAAGTGGAAAGAAAAAAAAAATATATTAAGTATAGCTGTTTTACCAATGGGGTCAGATTCAAGCAAAGATTGTTAATGATGGTAAACGAAGCGATGCAGGTTGAGAACAAGTAGAGGTGCAAGTCGATTTACCTAAACCTCGAGATCCTTGACTGAACCTCCCAAGTTGCCATTCCTACTCCCCCCCACCCCACCAATAAAAACCAACAAGAAGAAAGAAGGGTAAAAAATAAGGATATGTGGAGGATTGACCAATTATTTTCCAGTTCGTAGATATCTTGAATTGACTGTAAAATAGGGGTTGTGGCCAATTCAGAAATTTGACTGCTTCTCTATCAAAATCACATTCCCTCAAATAGTTTTTCTCCTTGGCTTAGCATGCTTGAATAAATTCGGAATTTGAATGACTGCTATATGTTGAAACTATTGTGTTGATCTAAGCAACTTACTCGTTTTCATTGTTTTCCACGTCTGTTTCATATCTTTTCTTTTTATCTTTGCTGACAAAACATAAACACTCTTTTGATGCTTTAGAAATTGAAACCCCCTTCTCTTAGTTTACATTACCCGACCCATTTATCATAATACTTGCAGTGGCATGCTAGTTCAAGATCCTTCAAAGGGTAATGATGTGGATGTGATCTTTGATCATCAAGCTAGGCAGTTGGGAGCCATGCAAGGAACCTTGGAGAATCTTCAACCATCTTCAGGATCAAGGAGCTTTGCTGGGACCGTAAGATTACTCTCTGGTGAAAGTGTTCCATCTGCTCCTCAAGGACCTCAACAGCCCAAGTCCATTGTACACAATATTGTTTTCTGGAGAAATGGTTTTACCGTAAATGATGGCCCTCCGAGGAGGTTGGATGATCCAGAAAATGCACCATTTCTGGAGGTAACAGGCAATGAGCAATAAAAGTAAAAATAAAAAAAGGAAAATGAGTGAATCTGGGCTTAAGATTATCTCAGACTGATATTTCGGATTGAAATGCTAGAAATATATTGCTAGTAGCCAAATAACTGGCATTTCATTTACATAGGTAGAACTAGTATATAAACTATATCACACATTTTCCAGAATAACACATTTTTTGTGCTTAAATCTCATGAAACTACTCTCTCCCTTCTTTCTCCTACATTATCTATTGCCTGCATGTGTATAATTTCGAGTGATTAGGCATAAATGTTGTTTCATCAAATATATCCTCAAGTTTTGACCGTCGTCCCCTTCTTTTATTTTGATCACATGTTGAAGTCTTGAAGGATTCAATGACTTGTGATGATAATTGCAGAGCATCAGAAAATCCGAGTGCCCTTAGGAGCTGGAACCTGCTGGCAGAAGATCCTCTGTTCATGTAAATCTCATAAGGAGGGATGAGGAATGTGCTGTAAGTCCATATGGTATATTTTTTATTTCTCTTCAGCTCTTCCTCTCCTTTACTGGCTAGGCTCGAGAATAACTTTTTCATTGCTTTTCTTTAAGGTTTTCTACTATGACTTTACTTTCATAACCCCACAAGGAAGATTAGTTGGTGTAAAATGAGATATTCATTTTGTTGTCAGCATTATTCCCTTATCCTTTCCAATTTCTAGAAGATCGTTAAACTTTCCTTTTCTTTGTTTCGATTTCCCAACCCTAAGCGTAGTGGCAATGTACAATTCTTGTGTGCATGTGCAAATGTAAAAGAAAGAATTAATGAAAGGTGGTGACATTTTCTTTACTTGCAGGAACCAGAGAAACGACATACTCCATTTCAAGGTGTGGGTTGAACCATAGGAAGTAGCTCTGCTAGTGAATCTGTTCCAGAAGCTGATGTTTCTTCCTCTCTCAATACTGCTCCTTCACCTTCAATGGGCATGGTAGGGGATAAATCACTACCATCCACCTCGATTCAACTTAGGCTGGCTGATGGGACTCGCATGGTTTCACACTTCAATTATCACCATACAATAGGTCATATGCATTCCTTCATTGATGCATCAAGGCCTGAAGGAACCAGGACTTATCAATTGCAGACGGTCGAATTTCCTCCCAAAGTCCTCACCAATCCCACCCAGACCATAGAACAAGCAGGACTATTGAATTCAGTGGTTATCCAGAAACTATGATCATCTAAGCAATATTTCTTTTAATTTTGTCGTCAAGTCCACTTCCTTGTGACAAGACCTCTGCTGTCCACGCTTGATGTTTTGTAAAGGAGGAATTTATAAGTTTTAAATTGAAGATAAATGCGTATAGTGCTTTTGAGTAGGCTTCACCATGATTCAAGCTTTCCAGCTGCTTTTGGAGCTAGGAATCTTGTGATCATTCATTCACGTTTCCTTAATGTAGATCTTCCTAGTTGTGTGAAGTAAAATTTCATTCCCGTTCAAACTTGCTGATGTGATATTTATACTCAGGTCATGAAGAAAACGGGGTCAAGTCTGAAAAATGGTCGAGAGTTAAAAGGCCATTATAATTGGACCTTTGGCGTATGACTTAGGTTTATTTATGACTGATGGCGCTATCTTCTCACCTCTAATCGTGGGGTGATGCTTTTTATTGATAGATAGAAAAGGACATTTTGATTGTAAATGCTTCGTTGAAGATGCTGATAATTTCTTGAGAGCATTGAACCTCTTGTTTCTTGTGAGCAATGTGCCTGAGGAGATTTTGAAGATTTCCCATTTTGATAGTTTCCATTTCCATATCTGCTTCACGCTAGACAGAAATTGCTTGCTTATTGTTTTATGAGGTATTGTCTGTACGGTGTTGTGTTCTGATGTACAATATACACCGCGCGTGCAATATACATACAATAATTGAAGTGAAAGATAAATGTACATGTTATGTGTGACCAGCTTCCTATGCTGGAGTTGAGCTTTGCATGGTCCAGCACGCTAGAAAGATCTTGGCAGGCAAAAACATGGGCAGATGGAAATGATTTTCAATTAGAATTATAGTCCTTATTTGATTTAATTGGTTTTTTTTTGGGAGAATCCGTGCTTTAAAAAAAAAGGGTAAATCGCAAAGAATTGTTGCTTGGAATCTGAGTTCGCCTCCATTCGTAGTGGCATGGATTATAGATGAGAAAAAGCAAAATGTTGTCGGCCAAAAGTTATGCTCTCGCTCTCGGTATAAATATCTGAAAGATTTTTCCATCTCCTTGCGTCCCACTACCAAGAATATGTCCAATGAAATAACCAAGAACCCTTAAGGAATATATGCTAGTCTTGTCATGCGAAAGAATTATTGGCCATTAAAAATATGATAAGACGTCACAAAGTGCTAATAGGGAAGCTAACCTTTCTTTTTACCAAACAAATGTTCAATCAATATTAATAAGCTGAACCTTTCGAAATCAAAATTCAAGTTACTATTTTATTAGAATGTAAGAAGTTGAAGCGAGCAATTGAATTTTTAACATATAGGGTCCGTTTGATAGGTACAGGTGAAAATAAATTTCAATTTTATATTATTTGAAAAATAAAAACTCACCAAATTCATATAAATTCCTTTTTCATGGAAAAAAATACAGTTTAAAATGATATTACCTTGAAATTCGATTTTCATTTTCAAGTTGCAATCAAACGGTCAAAGTGAAATTCGTTTTTCTCGAATAGGGCATTTTTCATAGAATTTATTACAATCCTATTAAATGGAAAAGATTGATATTTTTGAACTAGTCGCCATTTTGTTAAATCATATCATATTACCATAAAAGCCGTGTTAGATAAATATGAGGTGGGGTAATTGATGGGCCGCCACGCAAAAAAATCATTAAGATATTGAGGTGAAACTTTTTTTTTTTTATTGGAATAACTAAAGTGGAAAGATATGATTACATGACAAATGAGTTAACTGTGAGTTTAATCTCGGAGCTCACGAGTTATTAATTGTTAATTGCACCATTCAGTAACTTGCTGGAAAGGGGTTTTGCTTTATGATAAAGTTAATATCTAATTAAACCAGTTTAACTCAGAAGAAAGTGTACTGTTGATTGACATTTGGAAAGGGTAAAGATTAAAGTGAAGACTAATTAAAGCAATTAACTCAGAAAAGAGACCAATTAAATCAATTAACTCAGAAAGTGATTGACATGCGCAAGGGCTACCTAAATAAAAGACTAGAGATTAAGCCCCTGAGTGATTGATGACTAATTTTACCACTTTAACTCTGAAAAGTGAGTATTTACTGAAATGTGGATAGGGATAATCCAGATAAAGGGAAGATTAAGGATTCGTTTGTTTCCCATTGTTTTAACAGAAGAATGGATTTTTTGACACTTTTTTCAAATAAATGAGTCACACTGTGAGACAAACTGATCAATAAAAGCGGCTGCTTTCCATTGCAACAGTACAAATTTTCATTAAAAATGGAAACAAGTAGAGGCTAAAGTCAAACAAGTTTAACGGAAAAGTCTACCCTCCGTCGATTTGTGGGAAGAGACACGAATAAAGATTAATTAACTTAAAGGCACCCTGGAGGTTATTTTTATCATATTGAATTCATTTTTATAAATGACTAATGGTAAAAAATGATCTTTACATGCTGATGCTGCTCTAATGTCATGTTTGTGAAACACGATTTCTTCTGCTTTTCACCTTTGTATCATAGCCCCATTGGCCGCATGCCAGAGGGCACTGGTGAGGACATGACGTAAAGCAAATACTAAAGCAATCTTGTGAAACCCTAGCCCTATTGCCTATTAGCTGGCTGAATAACTATACAAAAATACTTAACATTATACACCTATTAGTATATACGTGCAATCTATTAGCTGTAAAAATCATCTGCTTTGCTTCTCTCTCCACTTTTCAAAAATCTGCTGGTGTTCTTTACGTTCCGTCTGTCTTTAGTCATGGCAGAAATGAGGGTGCAGAACCCTAAACCTAAACCTGATCTTTAGTCTAACAATGGCTATATTCTTAATGTCTCGATCATCTCTGAATGGTATTTCAACGACTACCAGTGTGCAGTTAAATGAGCTGTTTATTAGTACATCGCGGGAGTGGGTCTGTACTGAAGTTACCTAACTTAAATATGTTGAAAGGATGATAATCATGTTACAACACCATCATATCCTTTTATTTCTCCAACAATCTTTCACGTTACCGTCCAAATTATACCATATAGGGACGGATGTCAAGCAAGATAGATATGCATCCGGATTAATCCTAAGCAAAAAATGTGAAAATTTAACCATCTCGAATCCAGCGTGGTAGTCTTCTAGTCAACTTAAAGCATGAATGTGATAACTAGTTGCAAAATATGAGCTCGTTCAACTTATATGATAGTCATGGAGATTGAGAGGCGAAATTATAAGACAATGATAGATCTAGGACCGTGTGTTTTGCTTGTGCTATTTGAGTTTCATTGATTGGATTGGACGAATTGTTAGAGTTCTTAGAATTCGTGTTTCGAAACCATACCGATCAAGTGCTGTCTTAAGCAACAATATATTTTTGACAACATACAGTCCAAATTAGATTAAATGCCACTTTTTTTTATCCGAAAGAAAAAGTTTGAAACTTCCGAGGACAATGCTTAGATGATTTGTGTGAGGTTAACCTCACGATCGTAACAGATTGAGTTATAGGCTTAAACATTTTGTATTCTCAAATTTTTGTTAGGGAGTCATGGACACAATTGATAGTTCTCATGGATTATAAATCTGATTAGACATGTCACATTTGCACAAGAACAAAATGTTTTAAGGCAAGAGCATGAAAAAAACTAGTGACCATATGTCAAGATTTTGTCAAGGTTTGTAGTTATTTAGATAAGGATATGCTATGATCAGATTGCATTAATAGACCATTGATGCTGACTTCTCACTGCCTCAAATTCTTCAAAGGCGCAAGTTTTTTGCAATATGTTACCGTTGAAGGATTATAGATTGCTTGCTTAGGCCATGTTTGTTTCAGATTAAAATCAAATTTTAACCTAAGTCAGAGTCAAAAAATTAATATTAACCATATTTTTCATGGGTCCACAGCTTTTCAACCACACATTTCAAATTTTTTTTATCATAATCTACTAAAAATTTAATTTTAATCCCCACTAAACATCTACTTAATTTATTCGACAACTATTCATTGAGATTGTACTCCTGTTTGGTAGACTTTTTAGGATAAGTGTCTGTTTGATAGGCAAATGTGGAAACGAATTCTAATTTCATGTTAGTTGAAAAATAAAAATCCACAAAACCCATAGGAATTCGTTTTCCATAAAAACAAAGAAAATGCAGTTTAAAGTGGTTGTACCTTGGAATTCGGGTTTTATTTCAATGTTGCAATCAAACGATCAAAGTGGAATTCGTTTTTCTCGGATGTGACATTTTCTAAGGAATTTGTTGCGATCAAATATGACCTAAATTTTGAGAAAAGTATTGGTTTTGCATAATGTGTGGTTAAAAAAAATTATGGTTTCACATACCAAATTATTTTATTGAATAATATATGATTGAAAATAAGTTCGAAGAAAAATTATTAAATAAAATAGGGGCAAAACAACACTCTTCGAGATATTGAGAATATTGCAACCAATAACTAAGAACTAATCTTTTAACCCCTAATTTATTTAATTTTGAAGTGCATTATTAATTTTCTGTTGGTGAAGATTATTAGTAACTTCAGGAACAGAAAATTCGTGCCTAATCTTTTTTTTTTTTGTTTGTAGTGATTTTTTAATAATATTATCATAATGGATAAGGACTATGTGTTCAAATACGTGACTCTCACGTGTGTAAATCTTCACACGATCCTTATGAAAGCATGCCTTGCTTCAAAATTCTGAGCATTAAAGCAAGCAAATAAATAAACTTGGCTTTATAAAGCTAGACATATAATGCCTAATCTTAACTTTATAAAGTTAGATTTTAAAGTGCCATGCAATAGATTAATTGAGATCTGGACATTTTTCACCAGCGGTTGAATGCTAGATTTAAATAAAAAATTACGTCCTATTTTTCAATAATGAGACGATTAATATAATATTTTAGTCATACAAAAAACTAGAGTATTCTCAACGCTATTTATATATGTATATATACAATTGTGCGCATCAATTTTTAGATTGAGAAAGCGAGCAAATAGATATCAACTTGCACTTTGAATAATAAGTTAGGGTTATAATTTGGCAATCGCGTTCTCAACCTATCATTTGTGACATTCACGGCTCAATCTTTTAACATTGTGCGTGGAGCATCTCACCTCACGGAAAAATATTTATTTATATGTTATATTTCCATGCAACTGCACGCGTTTTTTTTTACTAAAAGAATAAAATTGTTCAAAAAAATTCTTTATTTTTAAACAATGATTATTCAAATTACATTAATGTAGCTATTTTTTGAACACTTTTACCCTTCAATTGAGTTAAACATTATATTCGTGTGTGAGAATTTAATGCACAAATGTTAAAATGTTGGTATCACACTATTTGAGCATCATTTTTCTATAATAGATTTTCTTAAAATGTAATTTTTTGGAAATTGTGAGATTAAAAATAGAAAAAAAAATTGAATTTACATGTAAAATTATCTTTATTAGGAAAAGTATAATTGAAAAATAAGCACTTATTTGGCCCCTTTCCCCACATATTCAATTTTTTCACAAATTTATTTTCAACCACCAATTTCATGAAATTCACGATATTTATCAACTTTTCAATCATATATTTAATTAATTTTTATGAAAATTTACTAAAAAATATTTTTTAATTAAATCACATGAACTAAGACTGAGGAAAAATAAAACTTGAACAATAGGTCCAAATAGTGGACATCGACCCTCATTAAATTATAATTCATTTTTCTCTTTTTTTATTTACCACACATTCTCGAATAAAATAATATTACATGTAAACTTATTTTTGTATCATACGTTTTTCAAAAAATTATTATTATTCTTCTCATTATAAAATGTAAAATAATGGGGCCAAACGGGCACCCCTGAACCAATGTTACAAATGAATAATATAGTGGGAAGAAAAAAAAATTAAAAAATGGGGAAGGCGCCGGTGAAGAAGAAGACAATCCAGGAGAGTACAGAATAATAGAAAATGAGTGGACAACTCGTATAAACTAGCAGTAGCCAGTACATAAACCAGAGGACATGACTTATGATTCCCTGCACAAAAAACCGACGATTTCTGTCGTCACTGCAAAACACTACTCTACTACACCTCGATTTGATCGTTCATCTCAATTACTTTAAACTCCTAATTAACAAATACTTCGTCCTGAGTAATCAGTAAAATGGCAGTGTTTCAGTGGAAGTGTAAGCAAAGAGTACTGTGAGGGTTTTCTTCGTGAAGGTAAAGCTTTGCAAATAACACGGTCACTTCCTTCTTCTCTGCAAACGTCGCGTGCGATCTGCAAATCTTTTTCTCCTCTCTCTCCTCACAAATTTTTTTTTGCTGTTAATGACCGTAAAGGTTAAATCCCATTTTCAGTGGAAAAATCTGAACATACAACTTTCTCGGACAACTATTTAGGATTTCCCCAAATCAGTAGCATAAAACTCGGGAGACCATTGCACAGGGAACACTCAAAAAGTGAAAGAAGAAAGAAACGGATAGCTCAAGCAATAGTAGGGAGAGACATAACAATACATCATTTTGTTAGTGTGTGTGTGTGAGAGAGAAATGGAGGTTGGTGGTTCCAGTAACGCTTCATGTTTGATAGCTTTTGGGGACAACGTTAATGCGTTGTGTCCTACGATGATGATGTCTTCCATGACTTCTCATAATGCAGACAACAATGCCCTATATCTCCCTCTTCTTCCCACCCCCAACAATCAAAACCTAAATCTTCACAAAAGCCCTGGTAATTCTTCTGTCATGGTTGAAGAACAAAATAACAGTAGCAATAATAACAATATTACAAGCACAGGGTATTATTTTATGGGGCCGGGCTGTAGCAATCACAGAAACAACAACGATGGAGAATGGTCTTTTAAGGCAAAGATCGTGGCTCATCCTCACTACCATCGTCTCTTGACTGCCTATGTTAATTGTCAGAAGGTAAATGAGTATCCCGAGTTTTGAAATGAACTTTACATACCCTAAAATCTCTGAGCATGAACTCTCTCCAAGGTTATACCCAAGATTTACTCTCTTGAATCGAGTCAAGGAAAAGTAACGTAACAAAAATCCTATTACTAAATAGAGTGATGATAAAGACAGTTTAATAAGTAACCCTAAGTATATGAAGTCGTACTGATAATGGAAATTATTTACAGATAGGAGCTCCTCCTGAAGTGGTGGCAAGACTTGAAGAAGCATGTTCATCTGCTGCTGCAATGGGCCGCAATAGCACAAGCTATATCGGTGAAGATCCAGCACTTGACCAATTCATGGAGGCCTACTGTGAAATGTTGACAAAGTATGAGCAAGAACTTTCTAAACCCTTCAATGAGGCCATGCTTTTTCTATCAAGAATCGAGTCCCAGTTTAAAGCTCTCACACTAACCTCTGATTCTGGTGATAAATTTCTCTCTTTCCTCTCATACCTTTTTGTTCCGTGAATGAAAGGCTTTCGTTCTTCTCAGATCTTACTGTTTTTGGCTGGATTAATTCCTGATTTTTATTCTATGATTTTAGATATTATGATTCTTAAACATGCTTGTTTCCAAGGAAATGAAGATTTTTTTTATATTAATAAATGAGTCTTTTCAAGATACAATTCCTCCATTGATTAATCTCTCTCTCTCTCTCTCTCTCTCTCTCTCTCTCTAATATTTTATTTTTGTGCTTGTAATAGTTCCCAATCTGATATTGACTGTCGAGGAAAACAGATGATAGCGTCTCTTTATACGTTTGAAGTTTCAGTGGGGATTCAATTGTTCGTGGACTAATCCTACTTAGATGTCCACAGTCCACGCTTTGGATATTTATAGTTGTAGACTACTGGAGTGAATATTGTTTGGTGTTGCAGCATCAATCTTATTTTGCTCGATTTACCTTGTACATGGCGAATGTTAATCTGTCTGCAAACCCCTTGAGCATTCTGATTAGTCTAATACATCCACTCGAAGAGTATGCACACCTCATATTTACTAAATTTGAATTGCTGAGCTTATGATATGAGATATTATTTGTTTTAAAAACCTTTTTTTTTAGGATGCATGTCATAGAAAACCCAAGAGAGAGGTTATCTCTTCTGGTGTCTTGTGAGCCAAATTTTGTTGACTTTTTGAGGTCAATCTTAGAGTTGTTAGTTCAATTCTCAATTTTAAAATCTTTTCATTATTTTGCCTGAACTGATTAAAATGTTAGTGTGGATTGAGTTTTCAAATGATTAATGAAAGTGATTTTTTCCTATATAATTGGTCTATCATTCTTTAATATCGGATTATTATCAATTCTAAAGTCAAATCCATATTTTCCTTGGTAAATAGTTTGAAGTTGTGGTCATTTTTTAACTCTTTTGAGTGTGATATGTCCATTCTTTTTTGCTCTCTTGAACTATACCATATAAGTGGTGAATGGAGATTTTTTTTAGTTTAAAACGATTGGTCTGGAAGGTCTATTATGTAACTCAATATATCTGTAACTATCATGTATTCTTTTGGTGCCATACTAAATATTCTTCTTTGTGGGACATTAATGTTGTAAATTTGTCAATAAGGAAAGATAGATGTGCTTGATTGCCATAAGGAAGCCTCTGATTGGCCAAAGTGGACAAGTTAAATGGATAAGAGATTATTGCTATCCATCGTAATTTATGCACGTCAATCTGGGTAGAAAGCACCATCGAAAACTATAGATGGATGTAAAAATAAAGGCTAAACTCAACGTATATATATTTTCATAATGGCCAGGATCGTTCTCTTGGCGATATTGAATAATAGATGACACCACCCTCAGGAAAGATAAAACAAATAACCGTGGTTTCTTATCTTCAACATGACTTTATCTATAGGAACACAATATTACAACAATCAAGATAGTGATTTTCGATCAATCCCATAACTATAATTTAAAATGCTTTCCTATTACTGTGAAAGTATGTAGTCATGAGATAAATGTGATTTTCTTTGGTTTTCTTATCCGTTCATATTTTGGACATTTTATGAAAGTTTTATCAAATGGGATGGAGTACCATTGCAGCTATGAATTGATTGGTAATTAGTTTCTCTTTATTGTTGTGATGAAGACATGGTCACTGATCTACACAATCTGAAGTTCACTGGGAAGTTATTGATTTAAATTAGGAGTTAAACAATTATTTCTTTTCGTTATGCAATTATAGTGACTAAAATTGCCTCGGATGCTGATCGTTTTTCTAATGAACAAAAAAAGTAGGCCTCATTTCCAAAGCTATACTATAAACGAATCAACTTACAGTACTGTCAGACTCGACTAACTCTAGTACTTTCCGACTTACCGACCGTCATCACCAAACCCCTCCTGAATTGCGTGTTCTTGCACCAACTCCTGCCCTTCTAAATTCGTCTATCTCCTATGGATCAATGAGAACTCCTCGTTCTCCAACAACTGGAACTCTGGTCACTTTCCTTGATCTTCAGAACTCTGATGGATATAGAAGTATGTGTTTTGGTGTTTGATTTATGTGAAGTTAATGTTTTTCAACGCAATGATGAAATCAAACCAAAGGTTGAACTATAGGAATGATATGTAGGAAGTAATCTCTTATTTCTCTCCATGTTCAACACTAATTTTTTGAATGGAGGCGTGAATATATGTAGTGTAGATGTTTTGGGTAGTATGGGTCGGATAAAAACCTTGAAAAACGTGAATTGGGTACAACTTACCACTTGACACTTTGATTTTTAAAAACTCTTTTTCAACAGTAGTTCTGTCTAAAGATTGCCAACATCTTTAAAACCTAACAACTACAATCATAGCTGACCTTCATAATACATAATATTATTTAATTGGAAATTAACCTTAGTTACTCGTAAATTATTAATTCTTGGAGAAAGGCGTGCAATAAACACTGAAGAACATCTATTGAAGCATTGAAAGATCCATTTGATACTTGCCTGCAACCATGAACAATGAATCATATTGAGCTATCTGCTTTCATATGGTTATGATGACGTCAACATTTAAAATGCTATCGATCCATCTGCAACATATGCTATATAGTTTTAACAGCTTAGTGCTTATGACATATCATAAATACCAGCAGCTTGTCCCGTGGCAATGGGTGGAAATGGATCATCTGAAGAGGAGGTCGATGTGAAAAATAGTTCCATAGACCCTCTGGCAGAAGATCGGGAACTAAAATGTCAGCTCTTGCGAAAATACAGTGGATACCTGGGCAGCCTCAAACAGGAGTTTATGAAGAAAAGGAAGAAAGGTAAGCTGCCCAAAGAAGCCAGACAACAATTGCTAGAGTGGTGGAGCAGGCATTACAAATGGCCATATCCTTCGGTATGTTGTAAGCTCAGAAATTTAAAATTTATATTGCTCTCAATGGTATCTAAATATTTGATGATTGGATCCCAAACTTTGAATTATTATGCATTATTGTTTTAAGTCGTTGCAAATAGTTACTGCACGCTGTATTCAGTTACATTTAGCAATGTTAGTATAAAATCTGTTTATCTTTCACTTAATTCAGTTTAGTTTATTAATTTTAGTAACTCCATGTATTTGTATATCTTCCAACATGCTATTTCTTTTCATCTTCATCTTTGTTTGGTCTGCTAATGTTGTTATTTTTTGTTGATTACTTGTGTCATCTAATTGATTATTTTCGATCTGAAGTATTATGTAAAATCTTCAGTGTTTTTTCTTGAAATTCACTTGATATGTATGCATGCTTGTGATAATGTAGTGCCTGTGTGGCAGTTGTGTGTATTTGCAAAACACCTTACATGGAAAACATTTCTGGCCTTGAAATTATCCAAATGAGATTAGAAATGTCCACAGTATCACTTATTAGCCTTGATTATAGGTTTGTAAAACACTCACGCTCCCTATGGTGATAAATGGACAAGACTCCCAACTAAAAAGATATCAAAGTTTTAAATTTTTTTGAGATATTTTGTATTTTTCGCCTTGAATTTGTTGTGCTATCACAAGTAGCGATGTCCAAACTCAATTGAACGCTATTTAATTGGAAAATAATATACTTGAGAGAGCATGCACTGCTCCATAGGTTTTGGTCACTACTGCGAAATAGATTTTTAGCTTCTTTTCCTCCTAATGAACGGATCGTGAAGTAATTCTAATCCTACGTAATGATGCAACTTAACTGCTAACAGGAATCGCAGAAGTTGGCACTTGCTGAATCAACAGGACTGGATCAGAAGCAAATAAATAATTGGTTCATCAACCAAAGGAAGAGGCATTGGAAACCTTCTGAAGACATGCAGTTTGTTGTAATGGATGCTGCTACTGCTACAGCAGCAGCTGCTGCACATTCCCATTATTACATGGACAATGTTTTGGGAAATCCATTTTCAATGGATATTTCATCATCCCTTCTCTGAGAATTTCACGTTCTTGAATTGAAGCACTCAAGAATCAAGATATATGAACTTGCAAACTCTGCTGGAAGTCCGAAATCGGAGGACTGTAATATTTCCTGATTATGAATTTAAATTATTAATTTCTTTTTCGATCTTGTTTCATATTCAGTTGAATTAGCAAATGATTAATCAACGACCAGTTGATTGAATTTCGAATACACTTAATAACTGTTGTTATGGCCCAAATGTAGTGGTGTCAAATGAGCCGAGCGGCTCGTCGGCTCGCCCGCTCGGCTTGTACTGTTCACGCCCACGAGTCGTTTGGGCTCGTCAAAAAACGAGCCCGAGCACGAGCCGAGCGGGCTCGGCTCTTCACTATTCACGAGCGGCTCGGCGAGCGGCACGTCGAGCCGCTCGTGAGACGAGCCCACGAGCCAGGCTCGTGAGCTCATCCAAACGAGCCTGCATGCTCGTCTAAGACGAGCCCATCAATATAAAAAATAAATAAATAAATAAATAAATTAAATGAAATGCAAATGGGTGACCAGAACGGTCACTGAAAATCAGTGACCGTTCTGGTCATTTATTTAAAATTTTTTTTTTTTTTTACTTTTCTCCAATTTTTCTC